AACAGTTTAATGATGATTGTAAAACATTGATTTATTAATCTGTGTTAATTGATTATATTAATCTTTATTAACAAAGAAAAACAGTATTTTCTAGGCTTATCTATACAGTTCATCTTTCCACTTTCTCTTGGTAAGGATTATTGTCTTTTGTTACTAAAAATGCCATATTTTATTCTCTCTGACATTTTTTTTTCAAATCAGCTTGTTTCTAAAATTTTTACTGTTGTAACAACTCTTTCTCCCTACTTTAGTTCCTAGCATATCAATTGCATGTAACTTTGGTATTCATTTCTTAACTCAAATTGACTATCTCTATTTTGAGATGCTTATAACCTTTACAAAATGATGTTTACTGCATTTACTATGTATCAGGACTGGGAGTAGAGTGATAAATCAGACACAGGTCCCCGACCCCACTTCAAGTTCACAGAAGAGGTAGATTTACCCCAAATCTCTTCCTGTTGGTAGTTGATTCTAAGGTCTTACACATCTTGCCTTTGTTTATATCTGTTGTTTTCTGTCTTTTGAAACTATATATGCCTCTTGACTAGATCTCATGTTGGGAAACTACATTTTTCTTCTCCCTAGCAATTACTTATTTTTTTATATCCCCCCCCCACCCCCTTCTTTTCATACTTCTCTTCATTCATTGATCTATTCTTAGTTGCTTCTTGCTTATTCTCCAGGCTTGTATTTGAGAGAATGACTTCTTTTTAACTTACCTTCTTGAGCTGCTTCATTTACCTTCTACATTTGGCTCTGAGGCTACACCAGAAAATACTCCCCTTGGCTGGCTTCTACCTTAACGGTAACTTACAGTAATGATGTATCTTTTTTCTTGACTTACTCTTTTTTCTGTCTTTCCCCAAATTATTCTATTATTTTAATTTCTTTCTTGAATCTCTTTCTGCTAATTAAGTCTGCTTAGTGCAAGAATCTCTCTGAACATGGAATTACTGGTATCTTCAAAATGGACAGAAAGAAAAAAGAAAACACCCAGAACTTGAAACTTCTAGAAGTTTTGTTAGAGTGTAACCATGTACCTCAAATATCAAAGATAGATAAGTGGCCAGGGAATTCTTTCTCCTTCTAGGATACACCCAGTGAGTAGTATTGAATTTTTAATGAGTTCAGAGAATATGGTTTCAGTTTACCACAGTTGAGTGGGGACCAGCTAATGATCTCCATTCAGACACTCTGGATGCCAAATACTGTCAGACAGACCTGATCATATCCTTTCTCTAAGATGATCACTCAGGAAGCTTGAAGCCATTCTCTAAGACCCGTCTGGCATGTCTTTAAAACAACAACAGCAAGGGCGCCTGGGTGGGTCAGTTGGTTAAGCGTCTGACTCTTGATCTCAGCTCAGGGCTTGGTGTTAGGGTTGTGAGTTCAAGTCCTGCGTTGGGTTCCACGCTGGGCGTGGAACCTACTTAAAAAAAAAAAATTTAAAACAACAATAAGTGTTACACTGAGGAATCTATAGAATTGTTGAATCACTACATTGTACACCTGAAGCTAATGTAACACTGTACATTAATTATACTAGAATTAAAGTAAACAAGTGTTAGATAGTCTTCATCCAGTTATTAGTACCTTTTTTCTGGGAGTCTAGCTGTGTATGTGTGATAAAGAACATATAGTTGTTTTTTGCTAGATGCTTAACAAAGAAGAGTGGCTTTGATTTCTGGAGAGAATTGCCTCTTTCTGCTTTTGGTGTTTCAGAGGCTTTGTGCTCATCTCAGGCTTTAGGAACTCACAGAATGCCTCATGACTGTGATCATGTGGTTGTGAGGAAGGGAACTCATGCATATACGGACCTCTGCTTCTCAAATAGCTCATCAGAATTTGTGTCTCTGTGTTCCATGACCAAGATTTTACTTCAGTCTAGAGTGATTTTCTCTAATCTTTCTAAATAATCTCTAAAGGAACCTCTGGGAGCCCTGTAAGATCAAAGTCCTAATATGATCTGTTTTTACATCATTATACATTATTTCCTCAAAAGATTAAGTGAATCTTTAAATCTTATATTACAAAATACCAAGTTACATATTTTTTGTACCATACCAGATCTTTTTTTTCTAGTTTTCTAGTTACAAAAAGGGAAGTACTCGCTCATTGTAGAGAAGTATAAGGAAAATTATAATCATCCATCATCTCTCTATTGAGAAATAGCTGCTATTGTTAATGTTTTGGTATTTTTCTGCTAGTCTTTGTGGTGCATATTCATGTAGTTGAGGTCAAAATGTAAAGACTATTTGTATCCTAATTTATTTTCACTAAATGACCATGTCCTACTGAAACCATCTACCCTAGTCCATGAGAGGGCTCTTCTTTTTGCTTCTCATAGTCTAACTAGAAATTAAACACAGTGACTTCTCTGAAAGAGTTCTCAGGTATTGTGTGAGACCAGTGGGAGACGTGGAACACGATGATCCTTTTGCCGATGGCAGCATTCTTTGGAGATGTGCTGCATGGTCCCATCTGCATGGTGACTTGTCTTTCCATGCTGTGACTGCATCAGACTTTATTTATTTATTTTTTTTAAAGATTTTTTTTTAATTTATTTAACAGAGAGAGACATAGCGAGAGCAGGAACACAAGCAGGGGGAGTGGGAGAGGGAGAAGCAGGCTTCCCGCAGAGCGGGAAGCCCGA